AACTGTCGCAGCTGTTTGCGCTGGCTGACGACGAAGTTTATCACTGCTGTCTATTAAGTCGCTGGAGCCGCGTGTATCAATGGAACCATGTCTTCTATTCAATGAAGTGTTGTGAGCACGTGGCGGACCCAATTTCTCGGCACGGCGCTTTAATCGTGCAGCTTGTCTCTCAGAGCTCATTTTATAAAACTCTTGTTAATACTATGGATTCTATTGATTTTCCTTTAACATCGAAGGGTGACAAGTTTTATTCTTTTTCTCTCGATCAACTGTGCGATGCCCTGATGAAAGATGCAAAGATCAATTTTGGAGGTGTAGCTCATATCTGGATAGTGTGTCGTCTGTCGTTATGATTGCTACTCAACACAATGTATTTATCGGTGTTAATTCTTTAGTTGGACCAAGGAGATGGCAACATACGCAGATATTGTATGTAACTCAAACTTTGACGAGAGACATGGTGTTTAAGTCTCAAGTGTTCGGTTTATCAATCTAGGCGTTCCGTGCGAAACCAATCACTTTATCCATTGTGTCAACGGAGGCAAGATGTAATAGGCTATGTCTAAGAGCTTTGTACTCCGAAATGATGGTAGACCTAAGTTGAAGGCGGTAAGCAGCTATTGTAACGGGGTTACACGTACCCTGGTAACAGGTGTCACACGAGATGTGCATGGTGTGACCACACCCAAACAAGAATACGGTACAGGGCTAGGTAGCCAGTAGTTATGTATGAATCTAGATTCTGCTATATATTTAGTATTATAAGGAGAATCTAAACTTTTAAATTTAGAATAAATAAATAAATAAAAATCAGTTTTGGATTTAAAACCGAAGAGTCAATTAGCCTTGGGGAGGAAATAATTACTCTTGGAGTAAGCGGATTGCGATCCGCTTCCTCAAGCGCAAAGCTATGGCAGCCCCGCTGCACTTGGTAGCACTTGTAGTCAATCTACACCTGAGTCATCTAGACTGATCCTCTGTGAGGATAAAGGAATTTTCCTCTTTGCCCTAGGGCATGCAGGAAGGGCATAACAAGCTGATGTCCTTGCTTGGCCCTGAGGGCGTGCAACAACTTGTAGTGAAAGGCCCCGAAACAATCGGTGCGCGTCGAGAGGCGTTTTCAAGTTACGAAAGTGCGCTGCTAGAGCACTTGCAGCTGCATCGTTGTCGAGTATGACGCCACCGTCGGCGACGGATGACTTCCTTCGACCTAAACCGCTCATGGTGAGCGTTTAGGTATTTGAGAGGAAGGATGGAGAGAATCTCCTGCTCCGGGTGACAGAGGTCGAGCATCGCATCCGCCATGCTCCAGACCGAGCAACAGCGCGTGGCGCTAGCCATTCCCAAGCTCGGTGGTTGAGCGCGAGAATGGGCACTGACGTGCGGCACTTCGGTCGGAGCTG